CCTCTATCATAAGGTCAGAACTGGGGATGTTCACCGATGATTGCACAATGTTCAGCATCATTTGTGACTCCTCAGATACTGAAGCAGTCCATGTTCAAATGCAACAAGACGTGGACAATATCCAGGCTTGGGCCCTCAAGTGGCAAGTGACATTCACACCACACAAATGCTAGGCTGTGACCATTACCAATAAGAGACAATCTAACCACCATCTCTTGGCATTCAATGGTGTTACCATCACTGAATCTCCCACTATCAACATCCTGGGTGTTATCATCGACCAGAGACTCAACCATAAACACAGTGGCTACAAGACCAGGCCAGAAGCTAGGAATACTGCAGCGAGTAACTCATCTCCTGACTCCTCAAAGCCTGTCCACCATCTACAAGGCACAATTCAGAAGTGTAATGGAATACCCTCCACTTGCCTGGATGAGTGCAGCCCCAACAACACAAAAAGCTTGACACCATCCAGCCAATGCAGCCCGCTTGATTGGTACTACATCCACAAGCATTCATTCCCTCCACCACCGACGCTCAGTAGTACGCACTGCTGCTATCTCCACGATGCATTGCAGAAATTCACCAAAGATTCTCAGACAGCATCTTTCAAACCCACGACCACTTTCATCCAAAAGGACAAGGGCAGCAGACATATGGGAACACCACCATCTCCAAGTTCCCTTCCAAGCAACTCACCATCCTGACTTGGAAATATATCGCCATTGCTTCACTGTTGCTGGGTCAAAATACTGAAATTCCCTCCCTAATAGCATTGTGGGACAACTTACAGCAGGAGGACTGCTGCGGTTCAAGAAGGCAGCTCATCACCACCTTCTCAAGGGCAATTAGGGATGGGCCTGAAATGCTGGCCAGCCAACGACACCCACATCCGACAAATGAATAGAAAAAAAACATAACGACGCAGGATCGCCAAGCAGAGACCGATAGCCAAGTTCCATACCCACAAAGATGGCCTTAACCATGATCTTGGGTTCATGTCACACTACATGTGGCTCCACCACACTGTTCTGTATCTGTAAAATCTTCCTTACTGTACTGTTTTGACACCATCACCTTGATAAATTGTGGTGATCTCTCTACCTTAATTAGCTTGTACAATTTTGAATTATTTATTACTTTGGTTAGACCCTCAGCATGCAACTCTTATACCCATCATGTTATTCTGGTCATTTGGTTTGTCTCCAGCACCAGCTTATTTTCCATTTTTTGTAATTATCTTTCTGCCTCATTTTATTGGATTATAGGTCATCCCTTCACTGGTTATTTAGCTGTTGACACTTTACTTACATTCCATGACTCTTGGTCACCTGCAGAGACTTATTATCTGACACTCCACTCACACCAGTTGTATGATCTTTTGATCTCTCAGCCCTTGATCTCTCTGCCTATAAAGTTTGTGTCAACGTGTCCTTCTCTCTCACTGCACCTGATGAAGAGGCTGCACTCCAAAAGCTGGTGATTTCAAATAAACCTGTTCGACTGTAAACCGGTGTCATGTGCATACTCAGCTGGAGAGTTTTAGCTATAGTGAGAGTCTGAATAAGCTGGGGGTATGTTCCCTGGAGTGTCGGAGACTGAGGGGTAAACTTATAAGGGTTTATAAAACAATGAGGGGCATGGGTAGGGTAAATAGACAAGGTCTTTTCCCCAAGGTGGGGGAGTCACAAACAAGATGGCATAGGTGAGAAGGGAAAGATTTAAAAGGGACATAAGGGGCAACTTTTTCATGCAGAGGGTGGTGTGTGTATGCATTGAGCTGCCAGAGGAAGTGGTGGAGGTTGGTACAATTACAACATTTAAAAGACATCTGGATAGGTATACGAATAGGAAGGGTTTAGAGGGACATGAGCCAAATGCTAGCAAATAGGACTAGATTTATCTGGGATATCTGATCAGCATGGACAAATTGGACTAAAGGGTCTGTGTCCGTGCTGTTCATCTCAATGACTCTATGATCGGAGCCTGCTCCTACAAGATAAGCTAAAAGCTAGCATGCAGGTAAAAAAAAAAGCAATTAGAAAATCAAAGGGAACACTGGCCTTTGTTCTTGTATTCCAATCGCTAGCAATAAAAAAAGTTTTGCTACAAGGTTTGCTAGAATTTGAAGAAACCACCTCTAAAATATATTGGTCCTCTTTAAAGAAGGATATATTTGCATCGTGGATAGTATAAAGGTTCAGGGATGAGAGGGTTGTCTACCGTGAGGCTGTCTAAATTGGGTCTACACTATCTATAGTTCAGAAGAATGAGAGGTGGTCTCATTGAAACATTCAAAGTTACGAAGAGGTATGATAGGGTAGATAGTAAGGTACTTCGTCCCTTGGCCGTAGGACAAAGTGAGCAGAGTTTTAGGATAAGAGCTGATGATTCAGCACTAGATGAGCATTCTCTACCCCAGAGGATTGTGAACCCCTGGAATTCCCTAACCTAGTGCATTATAGATTCTCTGTTACTGAATACATTTAAGGCTGCAAAATAGCTTTGTCCTTCCATGAAATCAAACCATATGAACAGTGGGCAGGCAAGTGGAAGCAAAGATCAAAATCAACCACTATCATAATAAACGGTAGGGTAGGCCAGGCCCACTGGATGTGTATCCTTCTACTCCTATTTCTTATGTAAGGCAGGGACAAACTCTGACTTACAGACTGACTTGGATGGAAATAGAGTTGCTTCAAGAAAGATAGGGGAAGGGGTGTAATTTGAGAAAAGAGGTCACTTTGATGTTGGTCATATTTACAGTTAAAATGATGATTGAATATTTAACCACATACAAATTATGGAATCATTAATTCAAGCAGTGAACTAAATAACAACTTTGGATCAGTTTGACTTGTTGGCAAATGTAGACATCCTTTAGATGCCTAGTTTATACACTATAATGCGCAAAGCAGGAAATTATAAATCCAAAAAGTGGGTAAAAAAGTTGCACATAACTATCAACTGATTGTAAAATTAGGAAATACCATAAGGAATGGCATGATGTAGCTATGTGAACATCATAGCAAACATTAAAAAAAAGTAATCTAATTAGGCAATAACACTAAGAATATTTCATACCAGGTTGTGACAACTTGTATTTTTCTTTTACTCAATACATGGCAGGGCACCAATGTCCAATGCAGCAAAGTAAATAAAGTAAATCAGGAAAACAGATCTTTTATCTTCCATATTTTCCCCCAAAGAAGAAAGGAATTAAAGTAACTGCACTGAATACACATGTAGAAATTAGTTACCATAGCCCAAGTTTTCCATCTCCCTGATTGGGGCACTTATTAGAAAGCAGAATTTCAGCTTATTGCAGCAACAAACTGCCGACAAAACTCATCATCCCAGCTTCTAGGTTATTTACATACTGCACAAATGAGTTCTTCCATCATCAGGTGCAAGCGCCACTGATACATTTCTCTTTTTGAGACAAACTTACAGTCATAGAGCTATACAGCATAGAAACAGACCTTTCGATCCAACCCATTCCTGCTGACCAGATATCCTAAAATAATCCTGCCCCATTTGCCAGCATTTGGCCCCTATCCCTCTAAACGCCTCCTATTAATGTACCCATCCAGATGCCTTTTAAATGTTGTAATTGTACCAGCCTCCACCACTTCCTCTGGCAGCTCAGTGCATACACACAACACCCTCTGCATGAAAAGGTTACCCCTTAGGTCCCTTTCATATCTTTTCCCTCTCACCTTAAACCTATGCCCTCTTGTTTTGGGCCACCCCACCCTGGGAGAAAAACCTCAGCTATTCACCCTATTCATGCCCCTCATGACTTTACAAACCTTTATAAGGTCACCCCTCAACCTCTGACGCTCCAAGGGAAAATACCCCCCGCCTGTTCAGCCTCTCCCTATAGCTCAAACACACCTGTCCCGGCAACATCCTTGTAAATCTTTTCTGCACCCTTTCAAGTTCAACAACATCTTTTCTAAAGCAGGGAGACCAGAACTGATTGCAGTAATCCTAAACATTTGGTACTGACCTAATGGCTGTTCCTTGGCTCCTGCATTCAAGTGACACAAATTCAGAAAATATACAGGAGAAAGCATTTTCCTAATTTCAATGGCACAGTTTGAGGCAGCATATTCTGCACCACCTGGGCATCTGTGGAGATGCAACAGAGGAAGTACTTAAAACAGTTCTCCACTTGACCAGACCCAAATCTATTGGAAAAAGTTGTCAATGCGCCAGGTTTATATCTTTCTAGGTCTCAAATTAATAGATTGGACTCATCGCATCTCCCGCTTTGATCTGATAATTCCTTGCAAATTAGATAGGGTTTAAGTTAGTACATGAATGAAACCAGATTAATCTGCAGGTCAATCAGGTTCTCACGAACATCTGCCTATTACCATTTGTCCTAGAATACTAATCAGCCAATCTGTATTTTGTACCTTGCATTTATTGTCATGTTTCATCTAATCGACTCCATTACATAAAGTAATTAGCGTGGGGAAGAATTTAACAGCAAAAGTAATCCCATACGTTTCAAAAAATTTTCCTTGATTAGTGTAGTTAGCTTTAGTGCAGAAACATCGCCATTCATTGCCACATATTAATTTCTCAATCCGTGTTACAACATTGAACCTGACTTCCACAAAAAGTACCGTTAAATTCCAGTCGTGTTTAATCCGCAACATTTGCATTAAATGGTAAGTATTATCGGGTATCACAAATGGTATAGATTGCTGCCGAATCGGCCTCCAACAGGGACGAAAGATCCGAGTCGCCCCAGGCTCTAGCGTCATTTTGTTTTTGGTTAAAATAAAATTGAAGCCTCCGCTCTCCCAGAGAAGATAATGGAGAAGTAGCTCTACGATGCGAACTGTCAACAAGCTGCCGGCGCATGGGCTTCGGTGTTTACCCGCCGAGCCGCGCGTCATCGCCGACATCCAATCAGCGGCCGAACTCTACCCGGTAAAAGAGATTGCCAAGGGCTCTAGCCAATCAGACGGGGCAAGGGGAGGGACCCGTTTAAAATAAACGGACAAAAACCATCAAAAGCATCAGACTGCAGGAGGATGGCTATCGTGCGATAGGTTGGGCAAAAAAAAGTTCGATAATTCCGTTCCGTCTCAATTTAAACAAAAAGATTTTTTTCGCCCGAAAGTAGTGTTATGTCAACCCGTTTGTTTTTGGAAAAAAACACGATTCCGGGATTTCAAATCTCCGCGCCAAAACGTCCCCTGGCTAGAAAGGATAACAATGGCGGCGGGAGCCGTGGCTTGCGCAGTGAGTAGAACGCCAGCGGCCGCCGTTTCTCCCTCTCTCCCCGCCCCCCGGCCCCCCCACCAACCATCCTCCCTCCCCTCTCACTCACCGACTCCTCTTCTTTCTCCATCCCGGTCGGCATCTGCGGCACGGCCCTATTGATGGAGACGCAATCCTGGAGGTCCGGCAGATCCTTCGCCCGGTAAATGGGGAGCGGCTTGGTGGCGTCTAGCGCCCGCGCTCGGAACGAGAGTTTACTCATGGTGTGCGCGGGAGAGGATTCCTGTTTTTTTTATATAAAAGAAAATTTTCCGAAAAAGAAAAAAAAATCCCTCCCCTCCCCACACACCCCCCCCCCCCCCCCCCCCCCCCTTATCGCCGTGGGGTTACTACAGCAGACACCGCGCAGCGAAAAGGAGCGGACCTCACTGGCACAAAGATGGCGTTTTAGACCAGTCTTAATTGGGCGGCCGGACGCCCGGAGCCGCTCATGGATGCGAGTTAAGGAGTCCGTCCCCTGGGTGGATAGGGCGCTCCTCGAAATGCCCCTCATGCCGACCGAGCCGAGCCCGAGAAACCGAAATTTGGCCGTCGGTCCGCGACATGCGCCACGGCAAACATGGCGGACATTAAAGCAGCAATCCCAAGGAGCCGCGCGCGCCTCCAGCAACGTGGGGGGAGGGGTTGCGCGCGCACCATCATAACCCTGTCCTGTGCCGGAGCTGGTCTGTTCAATTTACGTTGCATTTGGATCCGCTTTGCGGAGGAGCTCGTTTACCTGGATTAGTCCACCTTGTTTTCTATATGCCCTCCTCCAACGCCACTTTTTATTCCTGTTCCCTTTTCCGATTCAACTTGAGTGCCCCGTGACACTCGACAACCCAGGGATGAGCAGCCTGGGCTATCTGCCCCTTAAACCCAAGACCTGCATTCTGTCGGACACCCCCTTGTCAAGTGCTCCCTTACGTGAGTCGTCTTGCCTGTGTGGAGTGGACAGCAGGCTTGATTGGCACTAGCATCCAACAAACTTTCATTCCCTACACCACCGAAGGCAAGTGGCAGTGACATGCACCGTCTACGAGATGCACTGCGGAAATTCCCTGTGGCTTGGACGGTGCCTTCCAAACAAGCAACTACTACCATCTAGATGGATAAGGACAGCAGATGCATGGGGACAGCAGGTCTTGCAATTTTCCTTCCAAGCCGCTCGCCAATCGTAAATATATCAATGTTCCTTCAGTGCCACTGGGACAAGTCCTGGAGCTCCCTCCCTAACAACATTGTCTGTGTACCGATACCAAATGGACTGGGGCCTTTGAAGAAGGCAGCTCACCACCACCTTCAAAGTCAAAAGAAATTTAAATAAATGTTTGCCCAGCTGGTGAAACCCATGTTCCATGATTTGAAAACATGTTACATGATAATGTGATGTCAGACTGTTGTCTTTCTAAGCTTTTCTCAACTTATCCATCCCATTTGAAAAAATATGCATATGGCTCCATTCCATTAAATGTGCATGTTATACATCACATTCCTTGTAACTGTCCTAAGATATTCTCAAATGTTGCCAGCCTTGCTCTTTTAAAAATCTTTTAGGCAAGTGATGAAATATCTTTTTTAAGGGTAATAAAGTGTGTTTCATTTGTAAACCATGATGATTACAACAATCTGTGTCTAGTTTGATTATTTCTCACCTATTATCCCATTTACCACCATTAGGTCAACATTGATGTTATCACCCCACAACCTTCCACCATCCAGGACTGCAAATGAATAAACAAGTTAAAACGTCCTCTTCAGTTGCATCAGAGTGGCAAAATTAATTATCCATAAATTTTATTACTCTTCAGTTGTAGCTGTCAAAATCAGGTGAATGTTCATGAAATAGATTTGTATCAATGATTTCTCAAGTCCAAGTCATTAGTTATACTTTTGGTTAAAGATTGTAGCCAAGTGTGACATTACTGGACTTGTATTTAAGAGACTGGATTAATGCTCCAGAGACAAATTCAAATCCCATTCTGAAAACTGGGATATTTGAATATAATACTAAACTTTTCTGGTTCAGTAATGTCCCCAGGGAGCAAATTTGATGTTCCTATCTGGTTTGGTTTACAGAAACATGGATGTCTCTTAACTGCCCTCTGACATGGCCAAAAGGCCATTCAGTTGTATCAAGCTGCTTACAGAAAACAGCATGGTTGTAGAATGCTCTGTGGACCACAGCTGTTCGCAAAGGTGGTTCACAATATTCTCAAGGGAAATCTGAGATGTTGAGATGGGCAATAATTATATTCACAAGAATTTTTTTTATAATTGAACACCTTGACATTAGATATAGTACAGCAAAGAATTTTCTGCCTTGCCTTACTGTTAGTAGAATTCTAGAATTCCACCAGTGTGGTATTTGGATTGTCTTCAAATGTTCTACAAAACAAAAACAAACATCTATACTGGGCGTTTCACAAACTACTTAAAACCAAACTATTTGACCATGTTTTGTGACTACTACTCTGATATTTCATAAGCTCACAATTCAAAAAGGCCTGTGAGAACATTTGGAAGCTGTCTTGATGAGCTTGAAAGGGAGTGTAAGAAGAAAAGTATATGGAGGTTGGGCACACTTGATTACCAGGTTGAATCTATGTTGCCTTCCAAATGCAAATTGTAAATGTGCATAGGAAGTGGAAAATAACTGCAACCACACCTAGGGTGTGCAGAATATGCTTTCTCTTATGAGCACAAAGACTCTCTTTGTGAGTGATATGATGCCCTTCAAGGGGCAATTGCATTAATTGGGCAGTTCCACAGAACAGGCTGAAGTCATCTATAAACTTAGTATGCTGAATGTTCCTATCCCCTCCCTAACTCCCCACCTACACTCACCTTTACTGGCTCCACCCCTGCCTCTTTGACCTGTCTGTCTCCTCTCCACCTTTCTTCTCCTTTATCCATCTTCTACCCGCCTCCCCCTCTCTCCCTATTTATTTCAGAATCCCCTTCCCCTCCCCCATTTCTGAAGAAGGGTCCAGGCCCGAAACGTCAGCTTTCCTGCTCCTCTGATGCTGCTTGGCCTACTGTGTTCATCCAGCTCTACACCTTGTTATCTCTATGCTGAATGTGAAATGCTTGCAGTGTCCCATCTATATGATGTACAAATCCTGGTTGCAAGCAATCATTACTGATTGAAGATAGCCATCTCTGTGAAGCAAAATAATCCAAGGTGACCTTAAAATTGGCATATGCAGGCCACAATTCACAAAGATAATCCAAGATGTCATTGGCTGCACAGGGCTCAGGGTTGATTTCCTTTCAGCTTGAATTGTAAACATTTACCGCCATGCCCTTATATGCAATGCTGCCCTTTTTGAGTGATGTGGGTTGCTGGGGGGTGGGGCTCACTAATCATGCAGCAGTTACAATGTTATGTGACATGGCTGATGCTGCTTTGACCAGAATAAGGTCTCTTCATCAAAGGTCTCTGTGGAAGAATTCCATGCCCACCTTTCTGGAGTCTTCCACATCTACTGTATGGTGGTGTATGCGAAACCATCGAAAGCCAGATTTCTTACAAGGATGGCTACCGAGGGCTACCCCCTGCAGTCATAGTCAATGACTCTTATGCAACCTCCCGTTTAAAGCCAAGTGTGGACACATTGCTACCCATTTGCTAACTACGGCTGCTGAAAATGTGGTTCCAATGCTCTCATAAGTTGGTGGCGGGGTTGGGAGGGTGTGCTTTCAATACTGTTCAGACAGAATGTGCCACACAATCCCAGAATGCTGCGGTCTACTTAACTGGTGCAGACAAAGAGGATATGTAATGGATGCTGAAGAGCTGGGAAAGCCGCAGCAGTGTTTTGTAGAGGAAGAGGAGCACATTGAGCAGGAGGAACATCACCTTCAGTGTGATAGAGCACTGCAGTGTTGATGCAACAAGCCAGACTGAATTTGATTGACAGCCAGCTCAAACAGATGAGAGCTGGTTGCAATAATCACTCATTAACTGTAAATGTTATGCTGCTCGAAAGGCAGTGGTCCCTATCTGTTCCCATAACCAAATGCAGCTGTTTTCATTTGTTTTTTTTTCTTAATTTGTGTTGTTCTTCAGTCTGAAGGTTTCCCAATGTGTGATGGTCCCACATTGAACAATGAGAGGATGTTAGACTACACTGGGTATTGCACTCCCTTAGATAGGTTTCTAAGATGGGATGACACAACGGATGGATAACTGGTGTAGCTAGATAAATAGCAATAATTCTGCAAATGTGCACTTGTATTTGCAATGAAGAGTCAGCACCACCACCTGTATGCCCCGAGAAGCATTTATTTTTGATTTCACTTGCTGTTTGCACACAAAGGACAATTCCTGGCTGGCAGCACTTCACTGGGTTTAAAAATGGCACTGGTGCCGGGTGCCTAGGAGGTCCTGGTTGTGATGCAAAGATAAGACAGTTGGGACACCTTAAAGGAATGGTGCTTTGCTAATGAGGTTTGTTGTGGAGAAAGTTAGCTGGGATTCATGGAGAGTTGATTTCTGGTAAAATTCAGCCCATCCTCTCCACTTGAACTCGATCAAACTCTTTAATGGTCTTAAGCCTCTCTATCAGGTTATCTCTACGTCTTCTCTGTTCTACACAAAGAAGTGTCAGCCTTTTCAATCTTTTCTGATAGATATAGATGCTTAGTTTTGGTATAATTCTGATAAATCTTACTTGCATCTCTGCCAGGGCTTGTAAATTATTTTCATATCATCATGTCCAGAGCTGTTCAAAGTTCTCCAAGTGTGGTCTAACACTCTATTGAAGTTTATCTTAACTTTGCAGCTTTTCAGTTCTATCCCTCCAGAAAGGAACCCTAATATTATGTTTGCTTTTTAAGACCATAGTTAGATAGATAGTATAGGATAGTTGAAGAAGGCACTTGGTATGCTTTCCTTTATTGGTTAGTGCATTGAATATAGGAGTTGGGATGTCATGTTGCGGTTGTACAAGGCATTGGTTAAGCCACTTTTGGAATATTGTGTGCAATTCTGGTCTCCCTGCTATAGGAAGGATGTTGTGAAACTTGAAAGGGTTCAGAAAAGATTTACAAGAATGTTGCCAGGGTTGGAGGGTTTGAGCTACAAGGAGAGCCTGAAAAGGCTGGAGCTATTTTCCTGGGACATCGGAGGCTGAGGGACCTTATAGAAGTTTATAAAATCATGAGGGGCATGAAAGGGGTAAATAGCCAAGGTCTTTTCCCTGGGATGGGGGAGTCAACCAGAGGGCATAGGTTTATGGTGAGAGGGGAAAGATTTAAAGGGGAGCTAAGGAGCAACTTTTTCATGCAGAGGATGGTGCGTGAATGGAATGAGTTGACAGAGGAAATGGTGGAAGCGGTACAATTACAACATTTAAAAGGCATCTGGATGGGTGTATGAATGGGAAGGATTTAGAGGGATATGGGCCAAATGCTGGCAATTGGGACTAGATTAATTTGGAATGTCTGTTCACAGGGACTAGTTGGACCGAAGGCTCTGTTTCCATGCTGTACATCTATATGAGTTTATGACCTAATTGAAGAAGATCCAACAGAGCAACACTCTCTCAGTAATCTCCTCAGCGTTGATTTTAATGCTCGCACCTTGGAGTGGACCTTGTATCCAGTTTTTTCTAATTAGATTTACATTTATTTTCACATATATATTAAAATACAGTGAAAAGCGTTTTATCGTGTGTCATATGCAAAGTGTCACCACACTCCGGTGCTGTCTTGAATCATTGAATATAATGTAAGATTTTACGACAATAGAGTTCATCTTTCTCTCTTGTTTCTCCTCTGCTGCTCCTCCATTCGCTGCTTGACTTCGGCCACAGTCTCTGAAACAGACTTGGGGATCTCCACCACTGCAACTCCCACATCCAAGCTGGAGACATGGGCCTGGTGATGCATGGGTTCCGTACCTCCTGTTCCCCATCCAACGCTCCTCCAGATGCTGCCGTTGATCCGTCGTCCATCCCTTTCGCTGATGCCCCCGCTCCTTCAGGTGCCCAGGCTAGCTGTGGACCTGGAGCCTCGGCTTAGCCTGTGAGTCCAGACTGGGGGAGTCAGATCTCCTTGCTTGCTGAGAGAAGGGTTGTGGGTGTTACTGGCTGGGCTAGCATTATTGCCCATCTCTAGTAAACCTTGGGAAGGAGTGATGAGCTCTCTTCTTGAACTGCTGCAATCCATTTGATGCAGGTAGGCTGACAGGGACCATAGGGTGGGAGTTCCATGATTTTGATCCAACAACACTGAAGGAACAGTGATATATTTTCAAATCTTAATTCTGAGTAGCTTGGAGGGGGCTTTGCAAGTGGTATTGTCCCTATATATCTGCTGCCTTTGTCCTTCTAAATAGTGGTGGTCATGGGTTTGCAATGTGCTGTCTAAGGTGCCTTCTACAATGTATGGTGGTACTGTGCCTTTAAGAGATGCGTTCTGTGCTATTTCTCTTGCAAAGGGGTATTGTCACAGTGGTGCCAAAATATCTCCTTCAGACAGGGAGTTGGTAAACAGCTTGGAGTTATCCCGGAGTTCTTTTAAAATGAAACAAGAGAATCATGAGTGGGCAAAGTCAGGGCTCACAAAGACCCAGGAAGGGTTTTTGTTTTGCTTTTAGTGAGAAGGTTTCCACTGGCTGCTGAACTGAAAGCTCGAGTTCCCACCTGCTAGTGAAGTCTTAGATAGTGAGGCTTTGTCTTAAAAATGAAAAGAGGCAGATTATTTCTTTCCTCTGGACTGAAGAGAGACTGCATGTGAGAACCATGAGATAACAAGGTGTAGAGCTGGATGAACACAGCAGGCCAAGCAGGATCATAGGAGCAGGAAGGCTGACGTTTCGGGCCTAGACCCTTGGGTCTAGCACCTTGCACCAGCACCAGCTCTGCACCTTGTTGTCTCGGATTCTCCAGCATCTGCAGTT